GAATTATTTAGAACAAATTAAAAAACACTAGGTAATCCATCTCTATATTTACGTGTAGTAAATATTTTGTATGATATACATTGAGTTCTTTAGTACTCTTTTTGGGTGGAAGTCAGCATTCCAATAAGATTTATAGTAACACTATCCGTCAGTTATACAATTAGCTCACGGTATTATTAAACTTACACAAAAAACTTCACACATGTTTTGATTCTTTATATATATATATATTATAAGCTACTGAGCGGCTAAAAAACATTTTAGGTAATCAGCCCTTTTTAGGTCTGGGCCTCAGATTTCTGTATGTGTTTCATACTGTGATCATTTGTGAATCTTATAGGCAAGTAGGTGATCAGCCTCCTATGCCCGATTCCCTGTGTTGTGCGCATCTACCATCCTACCTCACTGACATAAGGTTTCAACCTTGTGACAACCCAGTGACATCTTATCATACTTGCCATGGAAGAAGATTGACCATTCGGATCTTAGTCCACCCAATACAGGCGAAGAAAAACACGATTAAACAAGGCGATACCATAATCATCAGCCAAGACCGTCTTAAGAAACTACAACTAGAATCTACTAATTGCTACTACCTCTAAGTGGTTGCAATAATTAGAGATGATTCAGTGGCACTGTAGCTAGCTATGTACCAAGGTTACGTTGACTAGGAGGTTACTCAACCGTTTACAGTTAACGAAACGTTAGTTGGATTTGAGATAAGAGGTCATTCACGTTCATAGGTAACGTATTATCTAGAGAAAAGAAATCATATTAAATAGCTAAGGAACGTAAGTCGATAAGCATGCAACTAACGAGATTGTCAATATAAAGGCCCATTTACATGATGCCATTTTCTTGTACATACCAGAGCAATAATTGAATGCAATAAATGAAGCGCAATAATTGCCGTTCAAGAATTGTATGCAACTGTTTACACTTGAAAACTTGAATGCAATTATTGTATTCAAGTATTGACAAGGAAATAATTGCACATGCCTTTGTTTACACCAATGCAACTATTTTAAGGAGATTATTGCTTTCAAGTTTTGACTTGTCTAAACACAGGCTTGTACGTGCGTATACCATTTAATGGCGCTTTCGTGCAAGTATTGCACGTATTTGCATTGACAAATTTTTCATTCAAGTCTTAAATATTTTAGAAGAGTATTGGAGTTTGAATATGTAAATATTAATGTAATAAAGGCAGGTAACATTTGTCACATGTAAAGAAAAAGTTTTAGTTTAGAATATAAAGAATACCTGTTTGAATTTTATATAAAAAGATAGTTTCTGTTTTTTGTTTTTAGTACTTCTATTCTAGACGCAGATAGTGTAACATCTTTGGCTCTTTATAAACATAAATTATTGTTTTTTTAAAATAGACCCTCACCACCAGAGCTCAGTCTTCTTAAAAGATTAGAACCATCCAACAGAGAGGTATGAATATGAGTAAAAAGGTGTTTAAATTCAGTTCTGCTGATATAATAAAGTTCATTGAGATTTATCGCAGTCATGAGTGTTTATGGGATACCGAAAATGTAAATTATAAGAACCAATGCACGTAATGCTGCGCTAGCAGGAATTTGAAGTTGACGGTTTCGGACTGAAGGAAATAACAAACAAAATAAAAAATTTAATTTATTTAATTAAATTTAACACACCCTCACTCACTGCACTCATGTTTGCAAATGAAGAGATAATTGCGTACAAGAATTGCGTAAGAAATTATTGTACGTGCTGTTTACATCAATAATAGTTTTGAAAGGAAACTTTTCCCATTGATCAAGAATGTTACGTTTTGTTTAGACTATGCAATTCATTTATTGCGTTGATATAATTGTATGCTACAGGCAAGAAAATGGCATCGTGTAAATGGGCCTTAAGAGTAATGAATGTAACTTGTATTGATTTTTCTCAATACGAATCTCACAGATAATTTTGAATTTTTTTTTGTGCTACGTATGTGTAAAACTAGACACGAAGGTTGTCCTAATACGAGTATGAGTGAAGTTATCAGATATGTTTCGGATCCGTCACTTAAAAGGGGTACTTTTCTTGTAATCCTAAGTCCTTTGTATTTAGGATACGTAGGTGTATCTTATTTTTATTATATACATATATATATATATAAATATAATATATGTACAAGTTGTACCCGTGAACTTCATTTTGACTTAATATGTTTTTTTTTACTTACACCTTTTTAGTAGAGTTCATACCACCATATGGAACATTTATGCTACCCCATAGACTTCGCTTTTCCGGAATAAAAAGCTAAGTACTAAATTGACATAAAAACCTTCCTTCCTTCCTCAGCCGTTTTGCGTTTAGCAAGAAATTTTGTGATTCATTTTTATTTATATATTTTATGTATTGTTAAAATAGAGCAAACATTTTCGATCAATTGAGCGCGTTTCTCACACAAAGGTATTCGAGTTATCTTTGTTTACAGAACTTGACACAATTTTGATACGAACGGTCCTAATAAAACATAGATGTTATCACAATCAACAGTTTTTATAACGTCGTAATTGTTTTTAAATCTTCTATAAAATATCCTTATTTGTGTGAAAGCCTTAAAAACTAAGCCTTTTATATTATAACGCGTTTTTTAAACTTCAAAATCTCGAAATATTAAATAGGAAAAAAACTATGAGTAAAAAAAAATATATAAAATTGGCAGTAATTGACTCGTTATTTTACACGATTTACACGATTCTGGACTTCCTGAAAATTCCTCTGTTCTTTCAGGAAAATTAAAAAATAAAATATAAATTTATTCATAAAAACATTAATCTGCCCCGGAAAGATACGACTAGTTAAAATAGTTAACAACGATGAGAAAAGAACGAAATGACTTTCACAAATAAAACCAAACAGATTTGCAAAAGGGACAGAGACTTCTTTTTATTACCTTTATTTTTTAGTGTAAATAATAACCCTTTCTGTCCAGCAAAAAACCTCTTCTGAGAAATATAAGGTTTCCTTTCATTTGGTGGCCTTAACAGTGAGGGTGAATTAATGATATGGTCTATAGCGTCTCTCTAACAAGTTGTCGGCTTTATCATTTTTTTTGTACGTTCACTTTTACGCAGGGGTGCATCGTATAAAAAAGTCAAAACCTGTTTGAGTGACGGTAACAGTGAAAGTTAACGTTTTTGAATGTCAAAAGTAGGTTAATCAATATTTTCACCCGCTACTTTATTAACTGCTAATTTATTTATCATAAGTAAATAATGATAATAAATCACGTTTAAATCTGTACAACTGAGTTCTTACTTGATATCGTAATTTCCTTCAGTACCATTAATCAGAACCCCTTCACGTAAAAGCCTCCTCCAGCTTTGCCCAGAACTCTCTATACATGGCTTTTCTACATTCGCTACCCGCTAACGCTTCTATCCACCTTTTTCTTAGGCGCATTCTTCTTCTTACGCATCTTTTATCTTGCTAAATGCCTCAACCACTGCCCTAAGTAAATAGTACTTTAGTTCTTAACTCCTGATGGTGTAAGGTGTTCTTAGGTCATATCCACCGGACATTTGTACTACACTGATTGAATTAGTTCCAGGGTCGAATGTCAGATCGCTTTGAACATCTGCCGTTTTTCCTAATCGGGGTCACAGAATCCTCAACTGCACTTAACTAATAACCCAATTATGACTCATAAATCAACCGAAATCTGTGCAGAATTTTTATTTATAACTTTATATTTTTTAAAGCTCTTAGCTAGACGCTGATAATGATTACACGAATTTTAAGTTTAAGTAGAAAAATTACGCTAAACTTATAAACTAACTTATCCTATGTTCTTAAACCAACAAGAAACTCATCAGTTACGCGTTCGGCTCAAGAAACTAAAAGATAATAGTATAATGTGACGTAAAATATTATTAAATAATATATACAATACATATAAATTTGGCGAAAACATCTTCATTATGTAATGTACAATGAAAATGAATCTACTATGTAAATAGTAGCGAAAAATATCTATACGCTTTCATACAGAGTAAATAAATCGATACACAGGTGAATCTGATATCGTTATCAACAAGTATTCTTATCATTTCATTTTTATCAGGTTCTTTATCGATTTAAGGGTACATACAATGCTTACTTCGTCTTTTTATAGTTTTACTCACTACGAATATAAATTTACCTATTGAAACGCGGTCTCATGAGAGTAACCAAAAAAATGGACGTCAATATTTTATTAGTAGGCTTTTTATACGTTTTAATTAGTACCAAATAAAAGTAAGAAAATCTAAAATTTCAAATTTTATATTACGATATCAATTTCTTTTTTTTTCATCCATTATTTTTCTCTTTTATCTTGCAAAATTCAAAACTAATAGTTTAAAAGGCAACCCAATTAGATTACTACGCCTGAAGCGTTAAAGATTTTGGTGTATCGATAGACACAAAAGACTGACAAGAAAGAACTGCCGCATTTTACGCAACTTGTCGCTTACGTTTAGGGATTAAAGATGTTTTGTTGCACATACGGTATGTTTTCTTATCATGGGTAAACTTAATATTACTTAATTTGTCAATTAAACAAAATATCACTAATATCGTTAATAAAATATGTAGTACCTATTTAAAAGTGTCCTTTTGTCTGTCTCTATATCTACCCATGCGAATTCAAGGCAGGTTGCTTGTGTTTTACAAACAGCTATGCAACCTATATCAGGACAGAAACGTGTTTTGCATTAAATTACCAAGTAGATACACGGCATTGGGATACTTATGCGTAAGCTAAAGAGTTACGAATTTAATTACGTCTTTTGTTTTTATCTATTGAAGTATCGTAAGAAATTTATTTTCGACGCATCTAATAAGAAATCACATTGATTATTATCTCATCTCAAGATTGAGAGTTATGAGTGGTTTGTGGCGATAAACAGTACCTAAGTAAACAGTTCGAACCTTATCCCTAACATGTCTCATAATTATTATGGGATATTTGGAAAGCATATATATTTTCCACATACCAATGCTCGGAGTTTCCCTCGGACAGTAATTCCAATCATCGGCGGAAATTTCACTTCTACACCAGGGTCAATCACTAATTCTGCTCCTCTTTCGATCAGCAGGTCATCGCGCAACATGTATGGACTGCCTTCCACCTTCCAATTAGTACTTCCACCGGTAAAAATACCACCCGGTAGCTCCGTAAGGCCTAAAGTCTTATTTAATAAATAAGGATCTATTTCTTCCCTCTCCCTTTCTTGTCCAGCACAAGAGCACACAAACAACAATAATAACACCGTCCTCCACTTATATTTCGTATCACTGAACTGGCTGTGTCTCTTTTGAACCCCCATGTCTTTGGAACACTCCATTTTAACTAAATAACATTCATTTCACTTTACTTGTATCCAGTACAACTAGCTGAACACTGTACAGGTGTTCATATTCTTATAGGAACACATTCTAATACACCGTTTTACAACCCAAAGTTTTTACTTTATAAAGCAAATTTAATGATCTTTTGCACTACTATAATCATTACTACAAAACAAAGGCGGGGTCAATACGAAAGTAAAACAAGCGAAATTACGCGCCTCCGTGAGTCGCGACCGTTAAACAAAGCGGTTTGGCCGGTTTTGTACGTGAACTCGGGTACGCTGTATGGCGGCCTGTACGACGCATTTTCCCTCCCTCCTCAATCCTCTCTTCAATTCAATTCTCAAATCCTCGTTCGGCATTCCTCTGTCTGTCCTCACCTGTCGTTAATCGTAATTTGGAAAGCCTCCTTTAGTGTTACCACTTTACCAGGTTTTTCTTAATTTTCCAAAATTGTAGGAAAATAATATTAGTGATGGCGATGTCACGATCATGACGTTCTGCCGTAGAGTACGATCGTGGCGAGTTACGCCTGCTCCAAAATGCTTCTACTTTTTCGCTGTAATATTATGGAAATAATAATTTATGTGACCTAAACTCACAATTTTCACGTGACTTTATTCCATAGGTACAACAAAAACTGACGATTTTATCTGAAATAACTTTGCAAATTATGGCCCCTTGGATCCTTCTCGAAACTACTAAACTACTACCTTAAGTTACTTCTTTTTACTTAATTTTAAATCCATTATTAATATTAATTGGAGGTAGGTAATCTTGGCTTCTTAACAACTTATGGATACGACAATTTAGCCAGCAATATTTTCTGTACAATTAAATATGTGCAGATAAAAAGGCTAGCCTTAAAATATTACCCGATCCAGAATTATACTAAAACTAATACATGGTTAAAAAATTAAAGCATAAAAATATGTTACTTGTGCAGTACACTTAGCTTAATCATCAATTGTTGGAACTACAGAAATCTACAGAGAGAGAATCTTAAAATATCCCTATCATCATTAGGTATATTAGTCCCGACCAATATATATGAGAGAGCCATTTGCCAGCCAAACGTTGCAGCATAAAAGTCAGATATACGTACAAGTAGCGGCACGAAACTCTAGCGCTGACCGTTATTGCGCAGAAGTAAAAGATAAGGTACCTGAGGGGGGGGCTAGCGGAATGAAGAGCGTCGATTGGCTCTCCAGTCGCATTCTGTCCCCCGCGCGACAGTACACATGCGCAGGAATCCCCTCCACGTATCGGCCAGCGCTAGACATACGGGCCGCTGCCTATATGTTGTTTTCAGGGTGACCATTTTCATCTAGTAGCGTAAGACCAAGACTAAGAAGTAAGAACTAATATAAAACATATTTTATTTGTACAACAAATAGTCTTGGCTTAGGGCTGACAAGACATAGTAAAGTGAACGATTGAATTATGATCTTATATCTGTGGTGTTTAAATACTAAAGTGAATAATCGCTCAATCTGTGTATACACTGACAATGCGAATTTATGCGGCTAAAAAACCGCATAAATTAGCACTCAATCTTTTCATCGTTTTATTTAATGGGCTGCCTGCAATTAGCCACAACCTGTTTGAATCTCAACATTTAAATGAAATCTAAAGACTGTCAAGTATAACAAAGCGTTCTAGTGACAGCGCCTCCTATACGCCCTGTGTTCTAGTGGGTCCTATGCTATAAAAACACCGAAAACAGCGTATTAGTATAGTAGCTTGGTTAAACTTCATTGCTGTTATATTAGTCATAAGTACATGTATGTTATCTGTGCGTAACATTGACTATTTCATATTTGTCTCTGGTTGCATTTGCTTCTGACATATTTTTTGACATTTGTGAACGATATCTTTGTGAATGATTCGAATAATCATACTTCATTGCAAAGGACTAATCGTTCTTTCCTTAACCATTCGGTCCTAAGGCATCGACGTATTGATCCATCTAAAATTTTAATGTTTTGTAGAAATAAGTAACTGTTACTTATTTATAAATTAATAAAAAGACTTCTTGAAGTCTCCTTTAAACTCTTTCATATTAATCAGGTGAGTACTTTAATATTTTAAGGTTAATTTAACAGTTATTTCGCTGGTTGGCGTGGCATCGTTATTCGGCGACATCTTGTTTTGTTCAATTCATTGTATTATTGTACCAAGCTTTGATAGAATCTAATTTCTAATTACTATTTTAGATTAATTCACTATGAGCTCGGGAGGAACTCGTGTGTACGTGGGTGGTCTAGTGGAAGGAATCAAGAAGGAAGATTTGGAGCGGGAATTCGATAAATATGGCAAATTGAACTCTGTCTGGGTCGCACTTAACCCCCCAGGTTTTGCATTCATAGAATTTGAAAACATGCAGGAGGCAGAAGATGCGTGTAGCGCGATGAATGGTTTCGAAATGTTAGGCGCGACTTTAAAAGTAGAGTTATCAAGAAAACGTGATGGGCCACGCCGAGGTTTCCGCGGTGGTGGCGGCGGCGGCGGCGGTGGTGGCCGTGGGAACTTCGGCGGACGGGGTGGGCGCTCTTTCGGTGGGAACGGAGGTGGCAGCAGACCCTACAACAACAGCTATGGAGGCGGCGGCGGTGGTGGTGGTGGTGGCCGCTCTTTCAACCGCAATGGCTATGGCTCAGGCAACAGGGACAATGGAAGATCTAGGTCGCCACTGGGCCGATTTTAATTTAATCATAGTTTTAGTTAGGTTTAATGTTAATCGTAATCTGAAGCCTTCCGCATGTTAAAACATCAATATTCATTTAAAACTGGGGGTTTAATGCTAGGAAGAGTTTTGTCGATGTCTTAGGACTTAGAGGTAATTAATTTCATATACTACTTAGATTTAAGTGTAATGTTAATTTTATGCACTTAATTCATAGAGCATACATTTTACTATAATTAATATTAAGGTTAATCAGCTCCTGGATGTTTTCTATAAAGTTTATCAATCATTGCTAAAACTAGTTTAAACAAAAAGATGGTATACTGTTTTGTACTGAATCATTTAATTAATATTGCATTGGATGAAATAAATGCATTTACACATTAGTTATAATAAAGTTATTCATCCAGTTGAAAATTATCTTATGAAACATGATGCATCTTTAAAAATTGAGCCTTTACAGTTAAGGATATTTCAAACTTATGTATTCTCTAATATTCATATTCTTAAAGTTAGATAAGTAATGATTACTTTAGTTTTTGAGTGGTATTTAGTACTTAGTTCTTAATTAAATCATGCAATTGCATGGGAATGTATTTCACTGCTTGAATGTAAACTATTGTCAAATTCTTGTTATACAATTAGTCTCTTTAATTTTTTTTCCAAATATGTATGTTTTCTTAACATGTCATTTGAAGCTAAATCTCATTTTAGAGTACAGATAATGATTTTAATAGGAGTTTGTTTGGTTTCAGATTAATTTATCTTTAATTACTTATAGTCATCGTAACAAAATAAGGAAGAACAACCTTCAGTGTATTTTTAACATTGTACCGGAGCACTACAGACTAAGTTTCTTTTATGTATAATAATAAAACAAGATTCCAATTTAGTATTTTTATTTTATTAATTAGGATGGACTGCTCAAACAAGCCATGAGCAATTCCATTTTGTTAAGGAAGTTTTTTCCCTCCATTTTTTCTAGTTTCACTTCTTTGAAAGCTCCTCCGAGATTCTCCCATTTCTTGTCTTGAACTAATTCACTTACATAAAAATCTTTCTTGGGTGATTGAGCTATAAATACTTGAATTCCAACAGAAGGTTCACACCTAATTGCTATCATTCGGTCACCTGTGAACAAAATATTTACATGGTCATAGTAATTTTAGTTCATCTATAGAAAAAGTGAAACAAATGTAATTTAGCAAAATTTTGAGGTTAAGCTGCACCCACATTGTGCCTTATAGCACATTGACCCTAATAAGGAAAATGTTAATATAATGAGTTGCTATATACTCTATTCCTTGAAACATTTACATTTAGACCTAAAACACTTGTTGTTTTCCCATATTAATAGGACTATGTTATACCTAGTAATGCACATCAAACTTTCATAAGAATGAGAAACTACAAAGTAAGTATTTGTAAGATTGGTTTAGGTTATTTGACAAAGAAATTAAGGTATTTTTACCTCCACCCATTTAATTTCTGTATGTAACTTAACCAGTACAGTGAATTTATTTATATATTAATATAGTGCAAATATTATTTAAATCCGATTAGCTGAGTATAACATTAGTAGCTCACATACCATTTGGGGAAGCTAATAGGCATGAAGATGCATTGCCAAGTGGCTCCACAGGACCAGATCCCAGATGTGAACTGCTGGCCAACAACTGCCAGCCCATACACCGGCCTACTGCTTGAACACCTGTCATCTGATGCTGGTACACCTAGGAATAAAAATCCTTACATCATTTTAAGGACATAATAAAAAGTGGTAAATAAGTATAGTTTATTACTGTGTACAACCAGTAAGACTAAACTTGTATTAAAATTATTTCAGGCCTGTCAAAAAAAAGGTCTCAATTAAACAAGATGAAAATATTAATTTTTAGTGGGAATAAGTGAACTCATCATCTACTTAGTCTTAATAATTGTAGCCATAAATATGTATTTGTTTAATAGATTCAAAATCTTATTTATTTATTAAAAAACGTTCCTTATTCCAATTTTCTTAAAATTAAGGTTATGCAACTGCTAATTAATTTATTATGGGCAGTTTTTTATTATTTTTTGATATTTGGGTGTACCAATGTACAATATACCACTTTAAATCAATGCCTTTTTTATGTCCATATCGTTTAGACAATACATATTGTGCACATACTGTATGTAACTATACCTGACAATACATAAGATCTCTCAGCTCTTGTAACTCGTAGGACAGATGCCTCAACTTCCCATCCCGGCAAATACATTTTAATGTTTTCTCACCAACAACCACCACCAATGAAGTTCGACATACGGCGTCGTAGCTGAAATAAGCTAATTTATCAATTAACACGTTTTTAGTAAATAGACGAGGTCGAAGCTGGCTTATCACTTTAAAATGCTACGCTGAACTAATTTTTCGTTCAGATATTTCCGAACCCCTTAGACCCCCTTACTGATATAGAAGTTTATTTTTCTGACGTTCTTTTCACAGATAAACTACAACAGTAGTTAATATAGCAGTTAGTAATTTAGTTGGATATACTAATATAGCATTAACCTCTTGTTCAGTAATAACTGTTTACTGAAATTCTTATAACTTTTAAACATTCTATAAACCACAGTCAGAAAAATTATAAGGATCAAAAATAATAGTATTAGTATTTACCCGTTAGCAATGATGTTGATTTTAACACATGACTGTGTAGGACTGTTCAATGCATTCCAGTGAGATACTATAAGTGGATCTTTCACCTGCAGACAAAAAAAATAGTTTTAATTATTATAAACCCAACATTATTACAAAAATGGTGTTTGATGATTCGGAAGCACAGTGCAAAAACACTTTTTTAGTTTTTTGTGCTTTATTTATTAATTTATATTAAATTAATTAACCCATAAAAGATATAATATATGTACTGATTAAAAAGCAATTCAAACTAAAGAATACTTAGTGTAAAACAGAAAATTCTTTCTCCACCAACTTGATATTCATGTTTCTACTTTATTTTACCTCTTTAGCAATTGTATCGAGGACATATTCGCTGCGCCGGCGCATAAAGAAATGCTGCGCTTGTTGGATTATTTGTTCCAATAAAGACTGCTCTTTTGTCATTTCTAGTAATTCGTGTCTGTCTGCCGCCATTGGACCTGGTGGAAAAAGATTATTTTTAACTAAATTACTTATTACGCATTATCTTTTATATATAATCACGATTTAACTAAATCCAACCGTCGCCGTAGTTCTATTAGTAGCCGGAAGTAGGTGGTTCGGTTTCCAGAAAAAATATTTTTACGATTTTGAAGATATCAGCATTTTTACAACATCTTAACTTTGTAAATTAGTTATTAAATATTAAATTACCAGCAAGTGATCTTCGTTTAGATGGTCCTAGTGGTCCTGTGGCGGGATGCGGGAAGGGATGATGCGTGTTCGAGTGATGCACTGTGCGTAACAATTGGTGGAGGGAATGTTCTAATACGTGATCGTGGTCTGACTTGCTGTTTGATGTACCTTCACTCTGGGGAATTTTTATTTATAAAACAACGCAAGTATAGAAAAATTTAGAAGCAATTATTGCTTTTTCTGGAAATTTAACGTTGTCGGGTAATATAAAAAACGCCACAAGTTTTGGGCTTTATATTTCAGTGATAAATAATAAGTTGGTAATCAGCTTTGTTTGACTGATACAATTCAATTTTGGAGTCTTAAGCACATAGACAGAAAAGCCCATTGGTGCACAGCCGTGATTCGAACAAAAAATATTAAAAAAGTCAAGTGGCAAAACAAATATCTCATTAAAATTAATAAATAATAATTTTGGTTATATACCTTAACATTATCAGAGTTGCTTCCAGTATTTTGTCTATTATTATGACAAATTCTAATTAACAACTGAATTCCTGGTAAAACCTGAAAAACAATATTTTGTATGAGACTTCAGCATATAATATGTAAAAAATCAGAAATATTTGTCAGTTCCCAATTATTAGCAAGTATAAAATTAAAGCACTTTGAGGGTTCCTTGGATAAGAGAGCATAATTTTTTAAAAATTCCATTGTAGAATTACTGTTTTACATATATAGAATTTCTAGTTTCCTTCTTATAGAACAATTAAAAGTATAGCCAAGTAATGATAATACTGTTTTAATCAGTAAAGTTCAAATCCTATCAAAAACACCAACATCTTAATAAGTAGTTTTATGTGTAACTAATGTCGGCAGTATCCTAATTTCACTTATGTGTACACAAGAGTTTAATTACATAATATTTTAATAATTTAGAGAGTACCATGTCACATGCTTACCGTTGCCATAATCTGATTACCCACAACCATATGCGGTATTGACGCATCCAATTGAACAGCCTCAGCTGCTAATCTTGCAAATAATTCTTTACAAAATAGAACATTTTGAGCAGCTTCTAGTTTTTGTTGCCAATGTAAATCTGCACCATCACCTAGGAGAGTTCCTGGACAGTTTATTGCTGAGGAACTTATAGTAGCTGTTACTACATCTTCTTGCTCTAAAAATAATATTGGTATTTTAATGAATCACACAAAATGAATAGGACATGTTTAGACATTTTTGTAATTTAATAGATCTTGTAAACAAGTTATTAAATTACATTATTGTCTTGCAGTGTCTTGTCTCTCACACTGCACAACTACTCTCAAAATAATGGGATGATTTTAAATGTAAAAGAATTGTATAAAAGGGATTTTTAACTTTAGTATATGTATATAGTAACCACTCATTTATTTTAAATGATATATCATTAACTTTTGAGTTTCAATCTATAATGATAAAATTTAACATGTGAACAGGACTTAATAATGCTGCTCCCAGATTTTATTACAAATACAGTTTACAATCTATATTACCCAATAAGGGTTATAATTACAGAAATAAAACATTTTTAATATCACATTTGTCTCTACATATAATATGTGAGGGTTAAGAGTGACAAAAGAGTGATTTCATGAATCTAAAGCTGTATCTTATTAAAAATAAGAATTTTAAACCAACCTTTCTGACACCGAACTGAAATGAAGGCTACACCTTGTAATTCTGGTGGTACTGTAACACGTAATGCAGAAGGTACAGGTCCAGATGCATTTAAACTCATTGCTTGAGCTATTTGATCCTCTGGAGCTTTTGTTACCTAAAATAATGAAAATAAAAGGAGCTATACCAGTTTTTTCTATTTCGAAAATGGTAAAGTTATCAAAGAAAGTTCCTATACTGATTCAGAAATGGAATATTATTTTGTGGGGTTGTCTTTTATTAACCATACTATAGACACATAATACTACAAAAAGGAAACCTTTTCTGAAAATCATCCATAAGTTGATAATTTAAAAAAATTACCTCAAATACACCAGTCTGGCTAAATTTAGATCCTGCTGTTCTGTAACTCAAATCTCCAACAATAGTATTAGATACTTTTTTTAATCTCCAGTTTTGTCGAACCCTTAACAAATCAATATGAAAGTCTGGCATGTTTCTTGTCATTCTCATAGTCTCGCTCGCCCTTAGGCGCTCCACACCATTTAGAAGGACAGCACCAGCAGCTGATAGTGCCTTTTTTCTGCCATATACCTGCACCATAGGTCGACTTTCTGGCTGTTCTGCTTGAATTGGATCTAACACCTAAAAGTTTGATAGATTAAAAGAGTCTTAGGATCCATATTATAGGACATCAAATTTGAAATAAAAATTAAACATACCATGTATCTCTTTTCCTTTGCAATACTGAGAACATCAGCCAATACTGACACTTCAGTCAAAGCATTCCGGAGCTTATTTCTTACTGAATCCCATGGCCACAAACTAGACTGATACCCTGGGTCCTTATCTTCTTCAGATTTAACATCAACACTGCTTTCACCCTCTTTCTTTATATTACAATATTCATCATCAGTTTTAGAGAAATCTATTTTTTGAGCTAATCTAGCCAAGTTTTCTGACATAGATAGGGGCCTGTAAATTGTAATGACACTTCTTTACTAGAACTTGGGACAAATTTTAATGGTCAAAAATGGAACCATTAGAAAAAATCAGATAATGTAAATTCCAAAGTACTTACGCTTGGTAAATCTCCTGACCATCGTAAGTAATTTCTTGTATTTGATTCTCAATGGGCGCCTCAATTGATATATTTACAGAATTGGCCATTGTTTTCGCCAGCTACTTCTATTATTTTGTAAGCAAATAAATATTTGTAAAAGCTGCAAACTACTTTCACATAAACACACTTATGGATAAATAATTCTAGACTTTTTATTAAATAGTTTAAAATTAAGACATTGCGGTATTTGTAATTACATAGTAAAGAGTCATAGTTTACAATTTACATAGATATTAGATACCATAGCTTTGGTAACTAAGAAGTAAGAACACTGAGATTAGTTGTGTATTTGAAATTTAATTTTGAAAATTTAGCACAGTGCCATCTCTGTTACGGCTACACAAAAGAACAACACGATGTTGTCATGCCAAAAATTAAAATTAAGGAGAAAGCGGGAAGAGTGGGAAACGCAATCTCCTAAAATAATCATCATTTATTTGAGGTATATACAAATATTAAAGATAAAGGTAAATAATAGAAAAATGACACAGTAATTAATGAAAAGCAGAAGTTTAATTATGTTTATTTTAATTTGTTGAAATATTTCAAACATTGTGAAATGGTGACTCTAACAAAATTTTTTAATTCGTAATATTAAGGTAGGTAATTCTTACGTTACGTTTCTTTTAAAGTATTACTCCCGTATAGTACTAAATCTGTAAATGTGTGACACGCGAATTATGACTCCCGTGTGTCAGAATCCATTCTCATTTTTGAATTTTACTGCAATGCGTTTTTGACTTACGGGAGTCATACGTATTACGTGAAACGCACTACTAGGGATGTGACATTTTGCATAAAAAATCGATTTTTTTTTATTAATCGATTATTCCTCATTTTTGAATTAATTTCAAAATAAACATAATAAACACCCTAAATATTTTATTTTTCATGGTTTTTTTAAATTAAAAATAAACAATAGAAATTATAAACACAAATTAACGTTTAAGAATAATCAAAATCGAAATTAACTTAATCTCGTTTTGATAGATTTTGATAAATGCTGAATGTATTCCTTTTCATTAGCACATTGCAGTATTTTTGTTGTCTTTTTAATTTTATGTAGTCTTGTGCTGCTGAATAAATTTATTTTACTTTTAAATTATAGGGTTCCATTCAAACTTGAGTTTTTGTAAAAGTAACTGCTTCTATCATCCTTTTGATGTTTTACAAAAAAACATCAATGTATCGAGTATATCAATACATCTTCAAAGAATCGGATTCAATGTATCGCATTGTAAACATCGTTGTGTATCGAATATCCCTAATAGTCGAGGTCCGGGTTATAGAAGACCAGACATAATGTCGGGAGGTGGCAGATAAAAAATCGATTATGATTGATTTTCAATTATAAAAATAATCGATTATTAATCGATTATTTTAAATATAAAAATCGCGTAAAAAAATCGATTTTTACTTTTTATTATTAAAAAATCGATTAAAATCGATTTTTTTAATAATCGATTATTTTTTCACATCCCTACGCACTACGCAGATCACATTTAAATCATCATCAATATAGTTCTAGGTTATGTTTATAATAATGATGAAATTAATTTATCCCTAATGAGATAGGCAAAGGACTTTATGTTTATAATTTATATATGACAACAGGCTGCGTTCATATTTTTAAAGTCAAGGGTGTATCGATAAGAATATTCGTAACAGTATTATTCGTAACAATATTCGTATTCGAAGAAGTAGTTCATTTTAGTTCTCTTTAAGGACCAGTCTAATTGTCATATTTTTTGTTTAAGTTATATTGAACGAACCCAATTGAAAGTCACGATCTTGACGTAATGAGGAACTTTGAAGTTTTCTGCTTTGACTTCTGACATTTAATAGTTTTCGTTGGTACAATACGGTTGTCGTGACTCGTCCGAGAGGCGAGATGTGGGGATTATTCGTTGTTTCTTACCGATACGCGAACTCTATGAATATTTGCTAAGTATTCAAGGATAATTCGTTTTTATCTATTAAACGGTTCAGTTTGTAACTTGTACGATTGTGTTCCGTGCCTTTAGCTTATGTATCATTGATAAGTATCTCAGGTAGGTCGGATTGGGAGGAAGATGACTGTTTTTATCTACGAGAGTGTTGTGATTTCCGTATGAGTATATGTTATTCACAATGACTACCTATACTAGATCAGCTGGTGTCACTTTAAAGCCAATTGAAGTACCTAAACCTCTGCAGGATGGAGAAAAATTCATCAAATGGGATGAGGTAAATTTATTTTAGAACTTTTGTCCACATATTATAATGTATTTAACAATAATGAAAATAATTAAATTGGAATTTTTAAATATTGTTGCACTGAATAGAAAGGAGACTAGTTCTTAAGATTACTAACTACCTATAGTTATGTCTTTGAAGATCTAAAAGAAGTTATTCAGCTTATTGCAAAACTACTATTGTTACTGTTTTCTTAAAAGTAAAAAAAACTTTATTTGGACTATGCTGTGAACATGATTTTAAGTTAAGTGAAAATATAATAAAAGATAATTTTGTTTAATTTATTTTTTTGCCTATAAAAGTGCCTCCTATTGTAATTAAGTATGTCCTTATTTTAGGATTCAGGCACAGGCTTACCTGTCACTGTACGAGTGGATCCAAATGGGTTCTTTCTTTATTGGACAGACCAGAATATGGAAGTTGAAATGCTGGACATTGCAACAATCCGAGATGTTCGAACTGGTGGTTATGCTAAGCTGCCTAAGGTAAGTTTTACATATTAAGCTTAATGTGCCAGATTATTTTCTTACAGTTTATTATTAATAAGTCAGTTGAAAGTATATTTATAACTATTAAATTTTGGGGAACTAATTCCTGTATGATCTGGTACTTGGTAAGTCATAAAATATTGCATATACATGTATATAATAAGTTTATATCATATTAATAATATGATTATTTTAACAAACTTTTATTACAAATTAGCAAAATGATAATATATAATTGATTATTACAAACACACAAATTTTATTGACAAATGACAAATTTAATTATTCTGAATTAATTTTTATTTGGAAAAGCCCACATTACATCTATCTTGTGCTCAAATAATTATTTTATTAAATACCTTATTTATATGACATACATATTTTGCAATTAATTTTCTTGTAAATATATGCTAATTGTTGTTACTGTTGATTATACTGAAGCTAAATTTTTGCCTACTGTATTTAAACTTCTACATAATTTCTTGATTGATTTAAAAAAAAGAAACAGTATCTATTTAAGTGGTTTCAGGTTAATAAATAATTAATAACATTAACATTTTAATTAACTGACATTTGCATTGGTGTAATTGGTAGAAATTAAAAGTAAACTAAGGTTGAATAGACGTTATTTATATGCTCCCAACTCTCGCATTTAATACATCTGAATTTTGTGCGAGACATTAATGATATCGTAAATATTATTTAGCCTGTGGATATAACTTATTCACCCTTAGACAATTCAATTTAGGAAAGTGCTATTTAGTTTCTTAGTTTGTAATTTATCGTGTATGGTGGTCATATATCTTGGTTTTAAAGTATTAAAAGACGTAAAATTATGTTTTTTTTTAAGTTTTACGATTCCTATTTTCTGTTCGCAATTGTGGTCATGTTGGTTCATAATAAACTTTTACGAATACAATAATTTTAAATGTACGTACATAATTTGTTCCGTAATACGTAATATATTCGTGAAATTTAATAATACATATACAATTTCTATATTAATCGACATGTCTTAAGTATTTATACAAAATTTGGCCTAAGAAGTAGCCGTATTCTGAGACTTAGACTTTACTACCAGATATTTTAACTTTAAAGTCGGTATTTATCTTGGGTTTTTCGAAACACGTTTGTTCGAGATCGTAATGTTACCCGATGCTCCCGGAATTGCAACGGGTAGTGCATACTCTATTATAATAGGGCATGGAATCTTGAATATCTAGGTCACATTATACCTACCGAAGGTGCCTACTACACATAAAGTGATATCATTCAAATAATAATTGATATATGTTTAACACAAAGCGGCTGATAAGAATGGAGTGAAATTAATATATTTATTTGAAATCCTCTTGAAATCGTAACAGATGAAAACGTGTTTATAGTACTCATGATTATCCACAAAAACAATCTACTTTTTGTTCAAAAATGAAATTGGTATAAAGGCTCCATAAAATTTTAGTGTAAATAATATTTGTATTTATTGCAAAACGGGGCTCTAAAGGTCTTCTAAAAACAGTGCTAATAGTAACTAAATATATTGTATTATTTGTCCCTTTTTGGCTTTTTACTTTTAAGGTTTTAACTCTCCGTGTAAACTTTATGTCGTCCTTGTTGGAAACTTTGCACGGATAAAATGTTACCTGATTTTCTACCAAGGTCCCATCTATTTGTACACCTGTACAGATTCTGTGGCTTATCGATATAATAATTACTCATTTTCGAATACACTACACAATATTTTTATAAAATGTGTCCAAGTACCCCTTAAAAGTTAACTCCATACTATTGTACCTGTATTTTCTCCGCGACAATAATAGTTATGGGTCAGTAATCGTTAGCTAGTAATGGAAACGCGGCTATTTATCGGAGGTGTGGTTTTTACGACAGACCACCTTTACCGTTCGTCCATTAGAGGTGAAATTCCATTTACTTATCTGACAAGATATTCTTTACACATGTCTTTCGAAGATTATATACCAAATTATGATATTTATAAATCCAGTTATCTATGAACGTTCTTTAAATATTTTAATGGAATACTAAAACAGTTCTCTTAGTGACCAATTGAGCAATAACGAAAATTCTAATAATTATTGTCAGCAAAAGGAAGTTAACTCTATATATATATAAAATTCTCGGGTCACATTATTCGTTCCCATACTCCTCCGAAACGGCTCGACTGATCCATAAGAAATTTTTCGGCATATTCAGTAAGTCAGAAAATCGGCTACTATCTATATTTCAAACCCCTAAGTGATAAGGGGGGTCCACCCCATATTTTAAATTTTTACTTTTCAAACATTTTTTTGGTTTTATTTTTTTATGATACAGCATACAAAAATAAATATAACCCCTATTTTTTTATTATAGTAGATAGTTATTTTTATTGAACTAAAAAAATGTTTCCTAGAAATAATATACATGGCAAAACAACGTTTACCGGGTCAGCTAGTTTTCCTATAATTTTTTCTTTATGAACATGTCTCATAGCTTCAAAGCTAACTCCTTTGAACAAGACGGTTTGTTCGTGAAGTTTAAACTTACATTTACTCTGGGCTCTAGGGGTTTTATTGTTAGTATATTCATATATTCGTCGAGTTTGCAAACTTATGTATTAGAGAATCGAAACTGGCTGGGAATACCATGTTTAACGTTTATTTAGGTTGAACAATGGCGTGTAACTACAGATTCTACTAACGCTGAATTATTAAATTAATATGAGACGAATGAATTACTAATTTTATTGACGTAGAATAGGTATATGAATTCTTTTCATGTTTTTTTGAAGTTATATATCTTTAGGCGCGTTATGAAAAATTGATGAGAGTGAAATTTTACGATGCGCGCGCACCGTGACAAAAAATTAACAGAATGAAGTTGTCCACGGAAGATGCTATGGCATTGGATATAATTTATAAACAACATTCGAATAATAATATAATTTATGTTACACTTATTGTAAGAGAATGATAATAAATATTTATTTATTTAATTTTTCAAATGTAAACTGAACTTTATTGACTATAATGACTCCTTTTCCAGTCTTTGATTATTTAATTGTAATTAATTATTTGCATGCAATCAAAAACTATTTTTAATAATGCCAAAGAAGTATAACTTCTTACGCGAGTACATAAGTACACGCACCCTTTTATTTATTATTATTTTCAAACGACAGTTATTTATCGACATATATACTAGATACTTTTTTTATGGAGTTAGAAAGATTTTTCAATTATTTATTTATAATTAATCTTTAAGTGCAATATAATTGTAGTTTAATCACTAGGTTTGGCTTATCTGAAAATTGAATACTAAGCAATACTGTTAACCTAATTAACACGAATGTTGTTGATTATCTCTGTGATCAATATGGGAGAAATGTTTTTGTCAATTTGATTGTTGGGTGAAATAATTGGTTGCACACATGGTGCGCTTATTTTAATCAAATCTTTATCGCTTATATTTAATATGCGTGGACTTTTATACGTTTTTTAGTGAGTTTTCCTGTGTACGAATAAATTTCGTATGTAAGTGGTGGGAAGCACACACACTTTTTTTTTCTATTTGCCCATATATATGGCATATTTATTATCCAGGTATATAACTAAAGTATTCATGGAAATCAATTAATCTCACTTTGTTGTTTTACTCGACGCACATTTTCTATTTTCATTTTAATGCTTTAAAGGTTATTTCTATTCTCAATGCCACTTATTTTATAATATTTCAATAAAATTGCGTTGACCTTAAGTTTATTTTTATATTATGTTTTACTTTTATCGTTGATAACTTGGCTATGTTTAGTTTTCCCACTAATGAGAGTATATTTCTGGCACCGTCTTTGAAACGAAAATCAAATTTTTACTTAAGTATTAAAACTGCTTCTTATGGCTTGTACAGCTTGTTGGTTCGGACATACTGGTAAGTTGAGCGACGCCGAGTTAGATTTCAGCGATACAATTTCTATTTCATAATCAAGAGACTTCTTTAAAGATAATGATGGATCTTCAGTCCTAGACTTAAGAAGACTTGATATTTAAATTTATTGAAGCTTTTATTTCCCTTTTTACATATAATGTGCCAGTTTTTATACTTATTTTAGTTAAGGTATTTATTGCGGTTACAGCGTATCATTGCGGTTAAATTCTGTTTCCATACAACCGTTCATCCCTCATTCATAGGATTGGAAATTTAAACATCCTTCCTTAGTAATGTCTTGCCTTACGTTCAAAATATGTAAAAATGAAATATCAGACATCTAAACATCAAATGTCAAGACTAATTCCTGTATCACGGGGATGAATCGGGACGAACACATTTTAATATTAAAATACGTTTCGCAGAGTTTCGCGTATCTTATGAAAATACTTGACATTTTCTAACCATCTAACAAGTAAAAGTGTCGCGTTAATGTCTATGTACATTCGTTTATGTATACCGTTCGTGAACTGTCACGATCCAGGCCTCATTATGATTTCATCGACCATTTGTATTGTTACAAAAATAGACCACTATTTTCTCCGCCGCGCTGTCGGGAATCGGTGAAAGCTGTCGAAAGCTGTTGTGGGTCGTCATTTTTAACTGACATACACCGCTGGCAGTAATTTATGTTCGGAATTCATGGATTTTCTGAATATTCGTCAGAAAATTGATGATTGTTGACATTAAAACTTAGTATATATTGTATTCGGTATGTTTTTTTACTTGTGTCGTTTCTTTTGTTTAATTTAGTTTGCCCGTTACCATACAACCATACCTTTCCATAACAATGTAATGTGCAACCTTTTAAAAATTTTAAATTCATACAACTATTTGAAACACGAATGGAACTCGTTAACCGCCGCAGTCTTGTCCTCTACAGCGGTAACTCCTAAGTAAGTATTTATTCTACGTGGCTGTTTTACCAACTTTGATTTAGTCTGATTAATATATCTTGGGTACTCTACATTTTGCTCACGTCTCATCTTTGTTGTAGTATTGTATGTTTCTAGCTAAATTTTTCCCTAAGTTAACGTTTGAAGATCATTTACTGTAGGTACTATAACTGATATGCTGAGAATCTGTTATGATATTCAGTGGGAGTACAGCCTCTGTACTCGTTATTAGGTTCGCGGAACTCGGAATTGATTATATTAATGCTGAGAAGATCCTTGGTTCAAAATTCGTGAAATAAATAAGAACTAGCTTTACAGTTGCAAGAACAGTTTAATAAACAGATCAGCGTCTTTAGCGGTAGTGTTTTGTTTTGCTTGAAATGGCCCTAATTTTGTACTCTATATATTATATACGTAATAGGTACCTATTAGGCTGTTCCTTTGTTTTTTTAATATCGGAAGTACGATATGTTACTGTAAAGTTTACCGCATAAAAACAAGTTTAAAATAGTTTTAGTTGTATTCTGAAATACAAATTAAATACGACGATTTGCTTGTTTTATAGTAGGTATCAGGGATTGCCTGTATGTACAAGGCAAGCTGTAAACTTTGCGATAGTTAAACAGGTTGTTGTTTGACACAGTATGTTATCAAAAAGATCTTCGTAAATAATATAAAAAGATTTAAAATATGACATCAGGTAAACTTTAATTTCATTCCTAAAACCAAACCCGTTAAAACCCTTAAACCTTTCATAATCTAATGGGCTTAGTTTCCAAATCAATTATTCACTCGATAATTGTTCCCGAATCAAATAAACGTCAGCGATTTACTGAAAAAGGTGATTGCACTCCGAGTAGAAATAACTTTTGTCCGATTTCCACGAAATGCCGATGAAAAATGACGGGCTATAATTACGAGCATCTTCAACCCCTTGTGATTAAATTTCCATTAGAAATATATTAATTTTACTATAGAAATACAAAGGCGAATGAAATTTAGAAGAACTTGCAATTTTGTGTTTATTTATTCGTCTAGTTTATAAAAAGATACTTCAAGCGGAACGTTAATTCCAGTCTATTTCAAAGCGAGAATTATAAATAAGTATTGATTTTTTAATGGATTCTTGACAGTTTTGTTACTAAAAATAAGTGCCAATGTTTAAAGAGAAGAATTTATTTCTATAAAGATGTTCGGATGGCTTTAAAAATGCTTTTATTCTTTCTTGAGATTTCGAATGAAAGACTTTTGGAGTGAATGCTTTAAATACTGATATAATATGTGTATTTTTTTAATGTCTTTGATATTATTTGACTAAGGTAACAATGTCTTTGATATTGTTTATATGTATAAGCTTAATCGGATTTTAATCTAAATGATTTGTTGGTAAAAAAAACACGTTTTGAGAATTTCCGTGTCCTTAAAAACAATACGTAAAATCGAAACTTGACTTCGAAGGCCTATTTAGAACTAGAGTGAAGAATACCCAAATAACTATATACTTATACGAAAACTTACTATACGAGTACATTATTCGTGTAGTAAGCTTCCATTTAATCTCTACTGCACAAGCATTACCTGTCCACATCGTATTCCTAACTTTCATACTAACTGAAACTATTGTGATTTATGCACCCATTCGTTTTTCATGTGTCCTTTTTTTTTATTGTTCCTTTCACTATCTACACATGTTTAATTGCTTTGTTTTGTTCCATTGTTTTTAGTAATTGTATATATTTTTTGTATTGCAATTTT